CTCCTCTTGGCTTATATCGAAATCCTCCGACATTCTTCTTTACAAATCCTCGTTTTGTACTTCTAATTCGTGACTGTTGTTTTGTTTTTATCTTTCCGCTGCGCTTCCACGTGCATCACTTCTGAGCGGCACATGCGCAACGCCGACCTCATACATCATCCTCCCGGAGCTGCTTCCGTGTACAACAGTGAGCGCAAGCTAGATTAAATTGATTATTAAGTTTTAAATATGGTTATTTTTCTTAAAAAAAAACACATTGATTCGCTACAGGAGGACTTTGTTCACCCCCCGGAGCCGTGTGAGACACGGGTTTTTATGGATGGGTGCTTTTTATTTCACTTCTTTTGGACTGAAGCACTGCAACACCCGCTGACTACAATGAAACCGCTTGAAAGATCAAAGACAATTTTTAATATAACTCCGATTCGTCTGAAAGAAGAAAGTCATATACACCTAGGATGCCTCGGGGGTGAGTGTAAAACAACCTCATTTTAATTTTTGGGTGAACTAACCCTTTAAAAGGGTCATCGGATGCCCATTTTCCCAGCAGACAAGTCAAAATCTTATCTGTTCTGATGTGATGACGATGATGACAATGATACAGTTGCTGAATGTTCATTCCACACGGTGTAGAAATCAATGTCCATGAAATCCAATGTCTAAGAATACCATCCAAAAATGTCCCCAGTGCAACACGTAATCCATGGTGTAGATCTCAATCCAAACACTGAGCAAGTCTTTAAAGTCACATTTGTGGCATAACCCAGTTCAAGAATCCACAACAGTTGCAAATATAATTCACAGCCTCAAAACCCACTTTAAAGTCATCCTTATGATGCAGGTCAAAAACAGGCATATGAATACAAGGATAAATCCCACAGAATGTGGAGTCCTTCTAAATAAAATGAAATAAATCACATTAGAAAAATAACTACCCATAAATTACCCAAAAGCATTCAATCAATACAAAACAAGCAACAATGCTTACTTCAGATTGAGCATAAAACTCAAGGTTTCTCAATCAGGACAAGTGATTGTTTGGAGCCATAAGCCATGCTTACTTCCCTCCATTACGAATCTGACTTCTTCTACCCCCTACACCCATTTTATATCTAAGAGTATAGCTCCATGTTGCCCCCTCATGGTGGGTAGTACAATTACAATATAAAAAACATGCTAACAGGTTTGTGACGGTTACAATACTTTGGTTAAAATTTCTCAATGGTAGTGTAAAACAACAGCCTTTTTACCCTGTCAAAAACAGCTCTGCACACAGCTTCCTGTTTCGGTGCATGTCCCTTTAAATGATAATGAGCGGGGTGATGAGCCGTTCTCATGAGACCGTTTACTTTAGCCGCGGAACTTGCTAACTAGCACGTTATTAGGAAAGGCGATTTGCAAAGATTCATAAAATGACCTTATACTCGCTTCTTCTGTAGGTGAGGCTGGATCACGAATGATTTGCGCGAACAAACACATTTAGGTAGATCGGGGGGTGCATTCCCTTCAAAAACAAAGCTAATCCACTGCGTCTTCAGCGGCTCAGATGTCGGGAGTAAATGACGACTGCTATGTTCATTATTACATCCAACAACAAAACACCTCAATCTCTTAGGAGCCATTCTTGTCTACCTCTGCTCCGGCGGTGAAACACTGGCAGTCTGATGACAGCTCACTCAGTGCGGGTCTACAATCGTAGCCAAAAATATTGGCAGTGACATAAATTTTGTGTTTTGCAAAATTTGCTACTTAAGCTGTTGTGGGTGTTCATTCACATTGTTTCTACAAGTATTGGCAGTGATATAATCTAGAAACAATGTGAATGAACACCACAACAGCTTAAGCAGCAAATTTTGCAAAACACAAAATTTATGTCACTACCAATACTTTTGGCCACGACTGTAAGGTAAAAAACCAGTGTCAATCAACAATCGTGGGAGGGGCATGGGTCCGTGTGACGTCACACAGCCAAGAATCTGAGAACGGCTTGATTTGAGAGAGGATATTATTTATAGGGATTAAAAAACACTTTTTTTATCATTACAGGGTGGATGTGTACAAACACTGCCAACACACATTTATGTTGAAACAACATGTAAAAGTGAATTTTGCATCCAATGACCCCTTTAACATCACAGCTGACAACATATGGAAAACTCATAGTCAGATACGCAAATGATTATGTTTTGACTACAGGGAAATAACCTGATTTATTAAAAAAAATAAAATAAATAAAAATCATGTAAACTCGGCTTATTTGCGTTGTCAGGTTACTGATGTGCATGTAAACTCAGTGTTTTAAGAGCTGAAGGAATTATTTGCTTCATCTTATTTTTGGCTCTAATTTAATTCATTCAATTAGAATCAAACTCTGTATTACTTACTGCTCAAAACTGATGTACTTCACCACAGTCTGGTCGTCATTATCCAGCCAAACAGCCCAAATATCACTCGCCGTCAAGACAAAATCCACTAGCGTTTCCTGTTCCACACAAACACACATTCTTCTGAGTATACGTCCAACAGTTGAAGTACTCCACGTTTACTGTACTGATCTCTACCTGTGTTGTGAACAGTGTTGAGATGTGATCCAGGCTGTAGCGATTGTTCTCACTGGCCACCAGCTGCAGCACACAGAACTGACTGCGTTTGGGCACTGCGAGGTAGATGGCCAGACACAGGCCGGTGGATGAGGAGAAGAAGAGACGGAGCTTATGAGCCAGTGCTGGAGAAGCCTTCACCTCCCCACGACCCGCAGGCATATACTCCAACATATCAGTCACCAACAGACACATCTGATGCTAAAGGACAACAGATTAACACATCACTCTGAGTGGCATGAAATTACAGCAGCTACAGCTTAATAAATGAATTCATTTGTATGTGCATCATCCTCTCCTGGAGCCAAACTGACCTTAAACGACCACATGCGCAGCTTATGATCCTGACACAGTGCAAAAATGAAAGTGTCATCTTCTAGCTGGTGGACAGCCAGACTGATGGCCAGGTCAGGAATGCTCTGATCTCCCCTGAGAATGGATGCTCGGGTTAAACCACGTTTTGCTCTGCTCTGGGTTGTATGGGATTCAATCAATATCTACATTTTATGCAAAAGAAATAAAATACCTGATGGCTGTGGGCATCCAGCCGGCCAACCGCTGCATCATTGAACTCTGTTTCAACTCCTGAATGGACACGGTCCCTTTATAACAAGAAAGTGCAATCACGATTTTCTATAAACACAGATATCTGCAAATTTTGTTAAAAACGTCAAGGGTTCAATCAAATATAAAAAATAATTCTGTCATCATTTACAATCACATCATTTCAAACTCATAAGACTTCTGATCATCTTCAAAATGCAAATGAAAATATTAACAACATTCTCTTAGAATTTTTGTCTATCCAATGAAAATCCATGCAACCAAAACTTTCATTAAAAGTCCAAACAGCCATTATAAAAGTAATCAATATGATTAAGCAGTTTAATCTAAGCCTTCTGATAAGACGCAATGTTTTTTTTAATGATGAACAGGCTTTTATTCATATATTAATATTGATTAACACACAGAGCTCACTAAATCTAGTAAAAAGCTCAACGAAACGAAAACAAACCTCATTAGTTGAGCTTCTGTGTTTACCATATTTGATGAGCTCTATGTATTTGCATTGCTCAGTGTTTATATATAAATAAAAGCCTAAACTAAAGGGATAGTTTATTAAGAAATTAAAAATCCTGTCATCATTCACAGGAGAAATCTACCCTCATGTTTTTCCAAAACAGTATGACTTGCTTTCTTCTGTGTAGCACAAAAGATATTTTGAACGGCATGAGGGTGTGTAAATTATGACAAAATGTTTGGGTCCCTTTAATTTAGGCTTTAAATCTGTACTTCACTGAAAGCGACTGTGTCTCTTCAGAAGACCTGGATTACTTTTAAAATCTTTTTGTACTTTTTTTGAGGCTTGACAGTTTTTATTGCATGGACTTTCAATGGTGGGTGAACTATTCCTTTAAACAACACATCAATGAATTGTATGAACTATCAATTTTACTAAACTTCTTTTATCCTTTCTGATATTCTGTAATTGTTCTTTACGATAAAACTAAATACTGAAACAACTCAATTTAAAGGCCTGATCTCCACAGTTCTTTACTAAATGCCCTTATAAACACTGAGCATGCTAACCACAAGACAGGCATGAGTTTTAAAGGTAGCTGTGTTTCATTTTATCTTCAGAGTCCACTTAACACAACAGTGTGCCAAAATTTAAGATTTAACAAACATTAATGTTTTTTACTAAATTTAAATTTGTTTGTACTTTATTCAAATTATGTTCAGAAGATGTACTGTCAATGGTTTGGTGCTATTGCAATGTAGACAACATCAATGACTACAATGTGTCTCTTTGGATTCTGAAAATATGACCTTTACAAACATATTTAAGACTAAGATATGAAAGAAATTTTTTTCCAACCTTGCATTTTAAAAAATATTTTCAAACTTTAAGGGCCCACGGACTACCCATGTATATAGAGTAAGACAGATAAGGATGACTATAGACAGACACAAACCATCTTGATCATGAGCAGGCAACGTGACTGCAGTAATGCTGCCTGAGGGCGAGGCGAGGGCGAACACTGCCTCCCCCTGATGACTGATCCAGGCGGCTGACGTGGACGGAGCGCTCGCTGGCACTGCTTGTGCAAATGGGAGCACGTAACTGTGGGCTGGTTCGTTTAAATTCAGCTTCCCAATGTCTGTGAAAATGGACTGCATCTGGAGTTCAGTGACCAAATCCTATAAAAGATGAATCTGTTAGACCATACAGAGTATATAGATCATATACATAAGTAATACCATTACATTCCGAATCTGTCAAAATTCATGCAAAAAGTTGTAATATTTTATAATGCATATACCGATACCAATGCCGATTCTAATGCTTCAATCCAGAGATGGGCACTCGAGTTTGTGACTCGGACTCGAGGCGCATTTTTATAGACTTCAGACTTGACTCGGACTCTACCTGAAATTACTCCAGACTTGACTCGACTCGAGGAAAAGGACTCGTGAAAATTGTAAAAGCAACTCGAGTCTTTTATCCTTACTTATATAACTGATATTCAAAAGGCGGACAGCATCCGTACCCCGGCATCCATCCGGACCTCGAGCCACAAACACAGCACTATTTTAAGTGAGCAGTGCGTCAAAACAGCGCAGCGGATCACATAACAAGCACTCAGGGTCGTTTATGATGAATATCTTTCAGCGCTATATCTTTTAGTATTTTTATCAAAAGCCAAACGCTCTTTATTCAAGCCCTTTCAGCTCCGTGCGCTTTCTCTTTCTGTCTCTACGGACGCGCGCCGGCGCCAAGTTAGAGCTGCGGAAGACGCGGTTATTTTAGGGCTGGAAAATAATTCAATATCAATATGTATCACGATATAATTTTTTTCAATAACGTAAAAGAACTAATTGGAGTAGTTTGATGCAACTCATTAGGTTTAATTTAACATTGTCCAATGTTAGAGAGAGGACAAAATAAATAGAAACATTTAAACTCCAACATGGAGAAGTCTGATGTAACACATAAGGTTTAATACTGTCCAATATAAGACTGAAGAGTAAAAAAAGAAATGGAAACATTTAAACTACTGAACGAACAAACAGTTCGGTCATGGTTATATCCACGGGCGCTGCGGATAATCCGCGGGTTGGGTAATAAAAAAATGCATTCTGATGAATACTGTTTCCGTGCTGTTTTGATGTATTTTAAAGAGTTGGCAGTCAAAATTAAAACTGCTGGATAATAGATACTCTTCATTCTTTATGACAAATAAGATAATGTGAATTACAGAACGTACAACGTTTTTAAAATATATAATACAGCGTTTATTATGAGGGGGTAGAATCCACAGCTCAGTACTCACTACTCAATACTCGTGAGTAATTTTAAATAGGCTACTCTTTTACTCTTACTCAAGTAGTTTTTTGGACAAGTACTTTTACTCTTCTCACACTACATTTTTTGGAAGGTAATGGTACTTTTACTTGAGTATATTTTTTCAGTACTCTTTCCACCACTGGTCACGGGTGGATAAAATAAATCATAAATGATGCAAATATTAACTACATTTTTTTCAAATACATTTTTTTTCATCAGGCAGACATTTCATTTGTGTGTATGTGTGTGTGTGTGTGTTCGTTCGGCTGATCGGGAAGTTGCAGTGACAGAAACGGTGACATTCCAGGTAAAGTTTGAAAGGAGTAAAGCCTGTGTTAATGCTATTGAGTAGGCTAATATATATGGCCAAAGAAGATATTTTGTTTTATAAATAAATGTTCATTTAAAAATAGCCCACGATCAGCGTATGTTACCGTTATCCCTTACGGATCCGACGAGGTTTTGTTCCGTCCTCCACGCTGTGCAAACTCACAAAAGACTATTTTTAGCCAAGCAGCGCGGAGAGCCGCTTCAGAAACGTGCCACGGCTGGCTGATAAACACAAGCACTGAAATGACTGAAACACATACTCCAAATTTACCCCAAATAGTCTCGTTTGTTTGTGCTGGTTTGTGTGCTACAGTTGAAGCTTCAATAAGGTAAAATTCAAACGGCTAACCAAACCATGATGGTCACAGTCACTTAATTGTTAGTAGTCATATTCATTCAATAAGTCTAATTAAACAAAGAAAAAAAACAAAAAAACTTAGGCCTATTTCATTGTCTTTACAAAACCAAAACAAAAAATAAAGACTTGATATTCATAGGCCTATTTTCGTTTCTGCGCACGTAAATAAAACATGCAATACTGTTTCCAGGTCCGTGTAGCCTATACTTTTGCGTCTATTTGTTTTTCCTTTTTTTAACCATGATGAAAAAAAAATTAACAAAGAACGGTTGTTGTATTTTTAAATGCTATCCTGAAAACCAAAATTTAAATTAGAAACATGCATACAAAATACTGCCCGAAAAAGTAAAATATAAAAATTCTTTTCAGATTTTTGTTTATTCACTTTTTGAAAAATGCACAAATGAATACAGAAAAATGTCAATTTTAACAAGCTTTCTTTGGCCAAATTAGAAGTAATGCTTCTCCCGCACGTTCAGTTGTCTCTGTGCTAGATCATTGATAGGAGAAGCTGGGCAATTAATAGTAAATATGACCAAAACAGGATATTATTATTATTTTTTATTTGAATAATAAAATCGCTATATAGGCGCATTTCAAGTGTTTATGAGGAGTGTGGGAGTATTATCGCGCTTACTGTATGATATGGAGGTGCCCGCGCAATCCGTCGCATTTTTTTTTCCCTGCGGAAAGAACTTATACTCATCTTTGGGGTAAATTTGGAGTATGTGGGGGGCTGAGTGACCTCAGAATGACTTATAAATATTCTTTTAATATCTAAAAAACCGAAGCAGCACAAACAAAAATTTTTACAGCACAAACTTTTGATTGAGACTATTTTGCCAACGTTTAGCGTTGGGTGGGGGACTTCACTGAGGTCACGGTTCAGTATTGTTACGTACTGCAGGAGGAAAAATCTTATTTTTTTAATTAAACAGTGGCTTACTGAACAAACGGCTCTTTCTTTTTCTTTTTTACAATTACAATTTTCCTAGGGATGAAAATCTACCTCATCTTCTGCTCTAAACTATAGGGAGCCTTTTTACATTACTATAAGGTTACAATTAACAACAGAGCCCAAACTTAACTTTAATTACTATTTATTTTTACATATAATAATCAACACTCAAATAAAAAAATAATAATATTAATATTATTATATATTATATATAATATAATATTATTCTGATTATAAATATGATATTAAATAGATTTATATATAATATAAATTATATTAATATAAATATATACATGTACATACATTTAAATATTTTCAAAATATATACTGTATGTGTGTGTATTTATATATACATAATAAATATACACAGT